AGTATACAGTTAATCTTAGAGAGTGTTCCAAGAACTGATAAAAAGAAAGTATATTTGATGGGTTTGGGGTAGAATGTTCAAAAACTGTCTCTTAGCGCCATTTGTTCTAGAGTTATGTTTAAGTCCATTGCTTCTCTGAATAATATAAAATCTCTACATTCTTATTCTAGAAAACATGGAGGAAACAAATTCTTAGAAACACACAGCTTCCCTGGGGGAGAGAGATATAGATGTCCCAAACAGCCCAATATCAAATTCTGAATTGAAGCAACTAAAAAAACCTTCCAACAAAAATGTCTCAGGCCAGATAGGTTCACACCTGAATTTTGTGCCTCAGGAGGCTGAGGCAGGAGAATTGCCCAAGAGCTGGAGGTTGCTGTGAGCTGTGATGCCACAGTACTCTACTGAGGGCAAAAGAGTAAAATTCTGTCTCTTAAAAAAAAAAAAAAAAGAATTTTAAAAATATTTTTTTTTAAAAAGTAGTGGTACCTGCCATACAGAAATTATTCCATAACTTTGAGAATGAAGGAATCCTACCAAACATGTTTTTTGAAGCCAGTGCCACCTTGCTATCAAAGCCAAGAAAGTACTCAACAAAAAAAGTAAACTATAAACCAATACCATGTATAAGTATAGATGCAAAAATTCTCAATAAAATCCTAGCAAACTGAATTCAGCTGCACATCAAAAAAATAATTCACCATACACAAGTGGACTTCATCACAGAGATGCAAGGATGGTTCAACATATACCAATCTATAAATGTAATTCACCAAATAAATAGAAGTAAAAACAAAGACTATATAATCCTTTCAATAGATGCAGAGAAAGCATCTAACTAAATTCAGCACCCTTTCATAATGAAGAGAATTTAACAAAATAGACAGAGATGGAACTTAACTCAAAATTAGAAAAGTCATATACGACAAACCCACAGCCAACCTCACACTGAACAAGGAAAACTGAAAGCATTCCCACTTAGAGCTGGAACCACACAAGGTTGCCTACTACCACCACTTCTACTCAACATAGTTCTCAAAGTCTTAGCCAGAGCAATCAAACAAGAGAAAGAAATCAAGGGTATCCAAAATTGGGAAGAAAAGGTCAAATTATTGCTTTTTCCTGATGATATGATTTAGAAACCCCCAAACATTCAACCAGGAAACTCCTGAAATTATAAATAAGTTTAGCAAAGTCTCAGTTTACAAAATCAAGGCACACAAATCAGTAACGTTCATATATGCCAACAACAGTCATGTGAGAATCAACTTAAGGGACTCTATAGGTTTTTTGTTTGTTTGTTTGTTTGTTTTGCAGTTTTTTTGGCTGGGGCCCGGTTTGAACCTGGCACCTCTGATATATGGGGCTGGCGTCCTACTACTTTGAGCCATAGGCGCTGCCCAAGACTCTACAGTTTTTACAGTAACAATAAAGAAAATAAAATACTTAGGAATATATTTAACTAAGGAAGTTAAAGACCTCGACAGTAAGAATTATAAAATGCTAAGAAGGAAATAGCAGAAGATATAAACAGATAAAGAAATATATCATGCTCATGGACTGGCAGAATCAACATTGTTAAAATGTCTATACTACCCAAAGTTCATTCAATGCAATCCTGATTAAATACCAAAGTCATTTTTTGCAGATCTACCAAAAAATAATTCTATGATTCATTTAGAACCAGAAAAAAAGCCCAAATAACCAAAATAACCTTAAGCAAAAAGAGCTTAAGGAGCTAAAAAATCAGGAGGTATCAATTTACTAGACTTTAAGATATACTACAAAGCTATAGTAACCAAAACAGCATGGTACTGACACAACAGAGACATAAACCAATGTATCTGAACAGAGAACTCAGATATAAAACCATCCTCATACTAACATCTGATATTTGATCATTTGATCATCAAAAACCTAAGTGGGGGGGGAAAGAATCCCTAAATAAATGGTTCTGGGAAAAGTGGACAGCCACATGTTGAAGACTGAAACAGAATCCATACCTCTAACTACTCACAAAAATTAATTCTTGATGGATACAGACCTAGCCTAAGACATGAAACTATAACAATTCTAGAAGATGTTGGGAAAACATAGACATCAGCCTAGGCAAAGAATTTATGAGAAAGACCCCAAAAGCAATCACAACAAAAATAAATAAATGAGACTTGATCAAATTAAAAAACTTCTGTACAGCCAAGGAAACAATCATTAGAGCAAATAGACAACCTACAGAATGCCTGAAAATATTTGCATGCTACACTTGGGCCGAGAACCAAAATCTACAAAGAATTCAAACAAATCAAAATGCAAAACACAACCCCTTTACAACGTGAGCAAAAAACACAAATAGAAACTTTTCAAAAGATAGACTAATAGCTAACAAACATGTGAAAAACTGCCCAACATCTCTATCATCACAGAAATGCAAATCAAAACGACAATGAGATATCACTTAACACCAGCAACAACAACTTTCATCAAAAACTCACAAAAGAAGAAAAGTGGGTGGTGACACAGAGAAACAGGAACACTCAGACACTGCTGGTGGGACTACAAACCAGTGCACCACCATTGAAAGCAGTACGGCAATTTCTCAAAGAACTAAAAGTAGACCTGCCATTTGATCCAGCAATCCTACTACTGGGTACTTACCCAAAGGTGAAAAAAGATACTTTAATAAAAAGTTTATACAGCACAA